AAAGCAAAAAAAAAACCAAACAAACAAAAAAAACAGGGCGGCCAGAACGGCAAAGCAAAAAAAAAAATGGAGCGCGGTTGCAGGGGGACCGGCTGGGGGGGGGGGAGGCGGGCAGGAGAGAGATAGAAGGGGGCGGCCAGGGCTACAGCAGGGGCGCTGCCACGCGACCCCTCCCGCTGCGCCGCCGCCTGCTGCAAGGGCTCCGCTCCGGTTGGCAGGGAAGGAAGGAAGAGGACTGCCCTGCAGGGTGCTCTGGTTCTCCGCGCCGCCGCCCCCTACAGGGCGGCCGGAGCGGAACCAAAAAACAAAAAAGCGGCTGTGCCACCCTAGGATTGGGCGGAATGCCGCCTCCAACAATCTGCCGCCCCAAGCACCAGATTGCTCAGCTGGTGCCTGGAGCTGGCCCTGTATGGGGGGTGAACTAAGGGTAGAATAGTCTACAGAATCCCTCTTTTGAATAGGCCCTCTCATTTGCTATTGCTGAGTTCAAAGAATAAAGATCAATTCATCTGTAGTATTCAATCAACATCTTCTTTAAATTGTATCAAGTACCGGGTCATGGTGACCAAATAGCCTCAGCCTATATCATTGAATCACCTGATTCCTGATCAGGGGGCTGGGGAGACGTTGCTGTCAATCACTTCTGTTTACTCTCCCACTGCCTTCTTGGTTATCCAAGATTAAGTGTTATGTAAAGACAAGGAACAACTGCTTGCTGGGACTGTCAGGCAGCATACAAAGGGGGAGAGCTGGGAACTCTATTATACGAGGTGCCTATTTAAACCTGCTGTAAAAGGGATAAGCAAACACCAGCTCCCCTTCTGCACTGAGAAAAGGCCAGCCTGGCAAGAGAATAGAAGGTCCTGGAGTGGGTAGTAAGAGAATTGTGGCCGCTTTCCTGTTGGGAATCCCCTGGCCAGCACAAGCTTTTAGATGTGAGCAGGCTGCTCTCAGCCTGACGGAAAAGGGATCTCTTTGTGCTTATCCCTTTCAAGGCCTCGCTTTCATTTCATACATCATTGTTCTTTGGGCTGAAGAGTTGCTGCTTGCCTTCCTCTACACCAGGATAAACTGGGGCGGGGGGAAGAGGAGGGACTGTCTTTCCTCAAAGGCAGGGACAGAGGAGGATGTGGCCAGTGAACACAGTATTACATGCAACTAACCAAGTCCCTTTTCTTGTGAATAACATGTCTTGCTTGCCTGTTAAATCCCACCCCTGCTTTGTCTTTTTGTTATTAAGATACATAAGCTCTCTGAGTCAGGGATTGTCTTAATAATAAATATCACCTCACTCTTATGTAGCACTTTTCATTAGTAACTCTCAAAGCACTTTACAAAGGAAATGGGATCATTATCCCTATTTTATAGATGGGGAAACTGAGGTACAGAGAGGACACGACTTGCCCAAGGTCACCCAGCACAGCTGTGGCAAAGCCAAGAACAGAACCAAGAACTCCTTTGCTCAAGTCCAGTGCTCTGTCTTCTAGGATTCGCTATCTTCCACATTTGGGTACTGTTGTACTAAAGTATCTCTTAATAATTATAAATTTGTATTATGGTATCTTCTAGCAGCCCTAACCAAAATTAGAGTCCCATTGTGCTAGCTACTGTACAAATTCATAGGAAGGGACAGTCTCTGCTCTGAAGAGCTTACACTGTAAATAGACAATACACCTCTACCTCGATATAACACTGTCCTCTGGAGCCAAAAAATCTTACTGCGTTATAGGTGAAACCGCGTTATATCGAACTTGCTTTGATCAGCCGGAGCGCGCAGCCCCATCCCCCCGGAGCGCTGCTTTACTGCGTTATATTCAAATTCGTGTTACATCAGGTCTCATTATATCGGGGTAGAGGTGTACATACAAAAGATGGAAGAGAAGAAATATTAACTTCATTTGGCAGACAGAGAACTGAGCTGCAGAGACTGAAGTGATTTGCCCACGGTCATACTGGAAGTCTTTGCCAGAGCTAGAAATTGCATCCAAATGTCCCGAATCCCCATCCAGAGCTTAGCCACAAGAACAACCTTCCTCAAATTTGATCTCCAATGGAATTCTTTAAGGAAGGTGTCACATTCTTGGGTGCAATTTGGACCAATGAGGAGTTGTCACCACCTGCCCTGCAACCATGGGTGCCTCACACTGCTGTTGTAGCTCACAACCAGGGCTGCTCACAAACAGCCTAACAGCATGCAGGTCACACCCTGAATGTCTGTGTATAGCCCTGGTCCGCAGTCTGTCAGCAACTCTCCAGTCACACTCTGGGTTCCTTCCACCAGCCTTAGTTACTACTTGCAGGGTGACCCCAACACACTCCCCTTTGCAGAACACACATTTTTGGGGAAATTGAGACTTTCCATTCTGCTCCTGGGTAGTTCAGATATTAGAGATCCATTCGCCGTCTAAAGGGTCAATAGTCAACAGTTTATTACTTTAACTGGAGTTACCAAACAGTTCAGTCTAAACCAATTCAGGGCTGTGTTTACATTAAAAAAATAAAACAAGCTTATTAACAAAAGAAGATTTTTAAGTGAATTCAGGTATTGGGTATTACAGTCAGAAATGGTTACAAGAGAAGTAAAGATAAAACACTTCCTAGGAGCTAAAACTTAACAAGCTAAACTTGGTTCAAGGTAAAATCCTTACCACATGTTCCTAGCAACACGGCTGACCAAATTCTCAGGCCAGGGGTATACATCTACCTCTCTCAGCCTGCTGCACACTCCGTGTCCATGTGGACACTGCTGCCATGCACTAACAGTTCTCTCGCTTGCTTTGAGCTGTCCCACTTTGAAATGGGAGTAGATCAAAGCACACGAGGGAAATGTTACTCCATGGCATCTGGCTAGTGTGGGGTAGATTTATGCCCCAGCTTGCAGTGAACTAATTGTTCCTGTAGACAAGCCTTTGGGAGCGGGGGGCATGATGGGGAGGAGAGAGGGGAGTCTTCAGGGCATAGCTGCTCTAATTCTGCTGCATACCTACCAGTTACCAAGGGGGCTAAGTGATGAAATGGGAAAGTGTGCTGGCTTTCAAGGTACTTGCATGGCACATGGAAAGGAGCTTGGTAATCGTGTCACAACACAATATGTTTTCACAAATGACAATGCAATCCAGCATGAGTGGCAGTTCCAGTGATCCACCCCAGATTACCTTACTAGGGGTTCTTTCGAGATGCAGGCATGCCGCAAAGCTTTGTGTGTGTATAAGCTTGTCCAACAGCTTCCTGTGGAATATCCTGCTCGAGCCAATGCTAATGTCTTTCCCCTTCATAAGCGTAGCATGTAGCAAAATTAAAGGCAAAGAAATGTTTTTTTTAGGGAAAAGAAAGTCTAACTGCAGCAGTTTAACAGTACACCACATCTTAAAAATAAATACCCAATCCTCTAATACACTTGGAACAGAGCTGTTGACTTTTTTTTTTTGTTTCTGTTCTCATTCTATATTGGGTAGCATCAGCAAGCTCG